GCCAGCTCCGCCGTGCCCCTCACTCCTCCTCGTTCCCCCCCACCACCGCACCGTTGCAGACCTTGCACATGGAAGTATGGGGCCCTGCCCCGGTCCATGGGTCGCGTCGTGAGCGTTACTTCCTCATCCTTGTTAACGACTACACTCGTTACACCACCGTGTTTCCCCTGGTGCGGAAGGCCGACGTGCCCGACGCTCTTATCCCGTGGCTGGTCTCTGCGCGAGTGCACCGCGGTCTCTCTGTCTAGCATCTTCACTCCGACCGTGGTGGCGAGTTTGCCTCCGAAGTCCTTGGTCGTTTCTGTCATGCGGAGGGCATCACCCTGCCGGACTCCCCGCAGCAGAATGGGATCGCTGAGCGACGCATCGGTTTGGTCATGGAGGTGGCTCGTACCTCCATGATCCATGCCGGTGCACCCCATTTTCTGTGGCCATTCGCCGTTCGCTACGCCGCCCACCAGCTTAACCTGTGCCCGCACCCCCAGCAGCCGCAGGTTTCGCGGACCCTTCTTTGGTCCGGGTCTCCTGTTGACGCGTCTGTGTTCCACGTCTGGGGCTGCCTTGCTCACGTTCGTGCCTTTAGCACGGACAAGCTCACTGCCCGCACCGTCCCCTGTGTCTTCCTAGGTTTCCCCCTAGACTCGTCTGACTGGCACTTCTACCACCCGTTGTCTCACCGTTTCTTTCACTCTCGTGACGTCACATTTGACGAGTCCGTCTCCTTCTACCACAGCTTTCCCCACCGTGGTCCCCTGGTTACTCCCCCCCTGTTCCTGGTCCCCCCTCCCCCGGTCGCCCCTGCTTCCTCACCTCCCTGCCTTGCCCCGTCTGGTGTCTCTCACGTCACCCCCCCCTTGTCGGTTGTCCCGGTTGCGAAGTCTGTTGCATCTCATGGCCCTGTGGCGCATTCTTTGCCACCTGCCTCCTCCTCAGTGTCTCCTCCTCCGCCTTCGCAGTCCCAACCGCTGTCGCAGCCGCAACCGCCGTTGTCGCCACCGCAGCAAGAATTCGTGCCCTCTGGGGGTGCTGGCGCTGAGGAGGGTGCCCGACCTAGGGCTCCTGCCGCGGCGTGTCCCGGTGGGCCTGGGGGTGGTGCCGGTGCTAAGGGGGTCTCTGGTTCTGGGGGTGTTTCTTCTGGGGGTTCTCGAGTGGAGTGTTCCGGAGGTAGCCGTGGAGCAGTTGACGGCCCAGGTGTCGGTGTTGTGCAGCCGCAGCAGTAGTGGTCGCCACCAGTGACTGCCCTCCGCTTTCTCGGCCTTCCCTCCCCTGACCGCGCGTCTGAGCCTCTCCTACCGTCTCCTCCTCTTCCTGTTTACGGCCCTGTGTTCCCTCCTCCGGACTCGTCTCCGGCTCGTCTTCCCCCTCGTTCCCCTCTTGTGTCCCCTCCCCTGTCTACAGACTTGACGCCCCCGTCGCACGTCTACGCTCGCCGTCCCTCTCGTGCGCGTCCGGTCTCCCCTGTTCCGCGTTCTCACCCTATGTTGCATCGTTCCCACGTGCCTCGTCCTCCCCTCCTACCGTCGCCTCTTCCATCCTCTCTTGTTGTTGTGCCTCCCCCTCTGTCTGACTACCTTCGTGCTGCTCGCTCTCTTGTTTCTCGGGTCCTCGCCTCTCTCGTTACCGACCCGTCCGTTCTGGTCTCGTGTCTTGACGCTCTTGTCACTGCGGTCGCTGACTTCGCCTCTACCCGCCGCCTTGACTACGCCACCGCTCTGGTCTCTGACCCTGCCTGTCCTCCGTCTATCGGGGGTGCTCGTGCCCTCGGCAGTGACGTCCTGGAGGACCGCCAGTTCGAGCTTGCTTTCCTGTCAGAGGCTGCTCCCCATCTCTGTTCCATGCTGCTAGTCTCTGAGGGTGACCCAGACGCCTTCGACATCCCGACCCCTCGCACTTACGCTGAGGCGACCTCAGGACCTTGGGCCTCTCAGTGGATAGCTGCCATGGAGCAGGAGATGGCATCTTGGAGATCCACCGGCACCTACGTCGACGCAGTTCCCCCACCTGGGGTGAACGTAGTCGATGGCCGCTGGCTCTTCAAGGTGAAGCGCCCTCCTGGAGAGCCGCATGTGTTCAAGGCGCGCTACGTGGCTAGAGGTTTCAGTCAGCGTGAGGGGGTGGACTTCTTCCAGAGCTTCGCTTCGACCCCGTAGATGACTACTCTTCGGGTGCTGCTACGCGTAGCTGCCCAGCGTGACTATGAGCTTCACTCTCTTGACTTCTCCACAGCGTTTCTTCAGGGCAGACTACACGAGCAGGTCTACATGCGCCGCCCTCAGGGCTTTACTACCTTCTCTCCTGGGACCCAGTGGCTCCTGCGGCGTCCAGTCTACGGCCTGCGACAGGCGCCCCGTGAGTGGCACGACACGCTACGTTCTACCCTAGGTGACCTTCAGTTCTTTCCGTCCTCGGCAGACCCCTCGTTCTTCGTTCGTGCTGGCCAGACCCCGTTCTACATCCTTGTTTACGTAGACGACCTAGTCTTCGCTACTGCAGACAGGGACGCGCTGGCCTTCGTGAAGGCAGAGCTGCTGAAGAGACACACCTGCACTGACCTAGGAGAACTGCGCCACTACCTTGGTCTGCAGATCTCCAGGGACAGAGCAGTGCACACCATCACTGTCTCACAGTCACACTTGGTGCGCCAGGTCCTTCAGCGGTTCGGCCTTCAGTTCTCCTCCGCACAGCCCACACCTCTGCCAGTAGACCATAGGCTCTCAGCTCCTGTTCCTGAGGAGTCAGTAGAGCCCAGTGGTCCTTACGCAGAGTTGGTGGGTTCCCTCATGTTCCTGATGACTTGCACTCGGCCAAATCTCGCATACCCTCTAAGCATCATGGCTCGCTTTGTGGCCGCAGGCAGACACCGACCACAGCACTGGTCGGCCGCTAAGAGGGTTTTGCATTATCTAGCGAGCACATCGGGCATGGGGCTAGTGCTCGGAGGACGCAGGCCAGTGGTCCTTACTGGGCACACAGACGCTTCTTGGGCAGACGACGCTGAGACCCTCAGGTCCTCCCACGGCTACTTCTTTAGCCTTGGTCCAGGTGCTGTTTCGTGGAGAGCTACGTGCTCCTTGTCTGTTGCCCAGTCCAGCTGCGAGGCTGAGATCTACGCTGGTGCCATGGCGGCACAGGAGCTCCGCTGGCTGACCTTCTTGCTCACCGACTTAGGTGAGCGGCCTAGCTCTGCCCCGGTCATGTACACTGACAACAGGGCCATGATCCTCATGTGTTAGGAGCCTCGACTTGAGGGCAGAGTGAAGCACATCCAATTGCGGTGCTTCTTCCTGCGTGAGCTGCAGCAGCGACGCCATCACGCGTAGTACACTTGGCCTCCTGTGCCAACACGGCTGATATTTTTACGAAGGCACTTGCGCCTAAATATCATGAGTGGCACTGTGTACAGCTTGGTCTTGTTCCTGTAGCTTCTCATTTCCTAGGGCCTTGATTGTGTACATACCTATATATATATATATATATATATATATATTACCCTGACTGGCCTTGTGGCCTCTCCCAGTGGCTGGACTAGTAGTGCCGCTCTGAGTTGTTTGTCCACTTGTTAGGCACTGCCCCTATATAGTCTAGGGGGTGTGTCAAAACATAACTTAGTATGTTATTGTAGACTATATAGGTTTGTGCCTTAGAGGGTACAATACACTAGCCTATATTCCCTTGTACTCTCACATTCTATTCATTCTAGTATTCTAGCAGGCGCGGGGTAGGCGGGTGCGGGGCTAGCAGACACGGGGCTGGCGAGCACGGGGCCAGCAGGTGCGGGGCTGGTGATCGCGGGGCCAGCGGGCGCTAGGCGACAGGCGGCTGCGGGCAGCTAGGTACGGGTGGCTAGCGATGGGCGGCTAGGTCTAGGACTAGGGCGAAAGCGCAGGTGGGCGGGGAGGACCTAACCTATCGCATGATACCATGTCAGATGTAGAAAGTTGACTAGAATATGAGATACAAAGTGCTTTTGTGCTAAGGGATTGTACTCTCTAAGGGTACACACCTATAGAGCATTTAAGATATATGCATATTTGTTTTGAAAAGGTTTTCCATGAGAAACCAAATTTTGCAAACAAAAAAATGTTAGTATTTTTCAGGTTTACAAAAAAATCAGGTACGATAAAACATTTCTGGTGTATATTATTAGACATCCGTGCGGTGTATTTGACGTTTCTTACGGAATGACAAAAACCTGTCTATTATTTTAGAGATTAGAAAATTTGGGTGAAAAAGCTGTACTTCTATAGCTTATTTCTCAAACCCCTTGCATGTATATTGATCCTCTAAGCAATTATTTAGAGGTAACCTATGTACTCAATAAAGGGGGCGGCATCTAGAGTCGGACTATTGATGTGATATTATCAACTGGATGTTAGCTCCTTTCTTGCAATTGACATGTTCAGCATTCGTTATGAACACTGCGATCAAAACTCCTTTTGACGTTGAATCGGCTGGTTACCATCATAGCTTCCCCGTTGACATCTCCTTCGTCTTCGAAAGCCGACAATTCGGCCACTCATGCTCTCTCGGACCGTTCAACAGCTCACGTCCTTCATGTCCCGCCATCATTGGACGATTTCACGACCCACTTTCGGCGAGCCGTTTCACACACTCCGTCGTGGCGCAGCGGCTTTCCTTGCCTCGCCCGAAGCAAGTGGGGAGTATGAAGGCGCCTCCAGCCCACGAGCGGGCAAAACAGCGCGCCCATTTGGATGAAGGAAAATATTTGCTGGAGGATGGGGCACAATTTGGAATTTCGATGGGGAAGCACTGTTGGTTTTACCTGCCCGTCGTCAAGGCGGCCCCGGAAATGCGGTGCGACGTACGGCGCTTTGCCCCGTCAACGAAGCGCGAGCGGCACATCCCAGCCAAACCAACGCGCACATCCCCAGCGGCCATCACAACATCCATGCGGCGCGACTGCATGATAAGACATGCACGTGCACTTGCGGCTTCCGTCAAATTCGAATTCTGCCCTACTTCTTCGCTGCAAGGCAGAGGGACATTGTTCTTCACAGTCCGTCTCACGGGCCACCACCACTCTTTCCTGTCTGTGCTGTCCGCTAACTTGCGTCGGTGGCTGCTGCTCGCTGCCATCGCTGTCACTGGACCCGAGTGAGTGATACGCTTTAGTCCGAAACGGCGTGTGAAGTTCACTACAAAGCACACCTGGGGCACGTGAAGAGTCATATTTAGACGTGGCTTAAACTTGGGCTCTTCTCCTCGAGACCCCTCGACGTCTGCCACCACTTAACTCTCCCGAGCAGCGGGAAGTCTACACTATTTTTACTTATTCGAAAGGCCTTACGTCATCGTCTAGGACTGCTTCAGCCACGTCAGGGGGCATTTCGAGTAGCTTCAGCCATGACTCGACTCAGGTCAAGTCGAGCCTCTCGACTCCAGCCGTTCCTTCTCGCAGTCGCTTTCTTGTCCGCTTTCATCGCACTCTCCTCGGCGCATGCCGGGTGTCCCGAGGAGACCGTCTCTCTCTGCAAGGTCGCCGACGATCCCGCTCTCTGTCAGCAAGCCATCTGCTCTCGTGCAACCGACGCCGCCAGTTACGCCGTACGGGGCCGATCCCTCGTGGAAGGCGCGTCGCGAACCAACGACTTGCTGACCTCGCTGGCTGTTGAGGCCGCGGAGGCGGAAGTGCGAGGGCTTCGTGGACAAGTGGTAGCGCTGGAGGCGGACAGCGACAGCGGAAAGCTTGAGCGTGCGGTGGCGCGCGATTGCATAGACCAGGTGAGCCATACAGCCTCTCACCACGCGACGCGTCTGATCGGTTCTCTTTCTTTCCTAACGAATTACGCGGAGACTCTTCTCCTCGCGTTGAACTGTTTTAATAACTCTTGTGCGATTTATCTTTTTTCTCTCTCTCTCCGTGCTGCAGCTGGACATGGCGTCCAACTACCTCGTGAAGGCGTACGAGTCGCTCCGATCCAACGACGAGCCCGAGGGCCAAGCCCACTGGGTCTCGGCAGCGCTCGCCCTCACCTCGCAGTGCACCTCCGCGCTCTCCGACGCCTCTCCACCCGTCACTCCCTCCGTCAAGCTCGCTTCCTCCGCCGTCACCGCTTCGATCGCGTCCGTTGATGGCGTCAACGGTGCCCAACTCACCGCCGTGGCAGGCGCCGCTTCAGGCACGAGCGCCATAACGACCGTGTCCAAATCTCTGAACACGGGACTGGGCAGAGAGTGCAAAGACTACATCTCGAACGCGCTCTCTGTCGTCGCGTCCCTTCGCGGCGTGGAGGACGACGACGATGAGGAAGGCGAGGAGCCTCCGGAACTGGCGGCTGGAAGTGCGGGGAGGAAGACGTTGGAGCGGGAGGAAGGAAGCACGGAGATGATTCCTGAGATGGAGTCGATCAGCGAGGACATGGCGGCTGTGCTTGCGGAGTTCGGGGGAAGCGCCGAGGAGGTCGAGAGCGTGCGTCGCGGCGGGAGGAAGTTGATTGGCGGGAGGATTACTCAGAGGGCCGAGAGGGTGCTGCGAGGCGTGGGTGTGTCGCGCGCGACGGCTGGCGCGTCGTCGGGCGACGTGAACGGTCGCCCAGATTGGGTGGACCCGAACGAGGAGCACCACATGCGAGAGCTGCAGCACTTCATGCGACACCACTATCGCATCCTTCGCGAAGCGTTTCCGACCAACTTTTCGCAGCACTGGGAGGCCAACCGTGGTCGCACGCTCGTAGTGCCCATGCCACCCGCGCTCAACGCTGTTATCAGCCAGCTCGACGTCACTCCCGCGCCAAAGCCGCTCGCTACTACCGCCGCAACAACAGCTGCGCCTGCTGCTCCTAAGCCCGTGCCCAAAGCCGCTCCGACGACCGTGCCCAAGGTTGCGCCCAAGACCCTCCCTAAGGCCGCTCCTAAAACTGTTCCGAAGACTGCCCCTAAGACCCTTCCGAAAACTGCCCCTAAGACCGCCCCTAAGACCGTTCCTAAGGTCGCTCCTAAGACGGTGCCCAAGACATCCCCAAAGACCCTACCCAATGCCCCCAAGACCCTACCCAATGCCCCCAAGACCCTACCCAATGCCCCCAAGACCCTACCCAATGCCCCCAAGACCCTACCCAATGCCCCCAAGACCCTACCCAATGCCCCCAAGACCCTACCCAATGCCCCCAAGACCCTACCCAATGCCCCCAAGACCCTACCCAATGCCTCCAATACCCTACCCAATGCCCCCAAGACCCTACCCAATGCCTCCAATACCCTACCCAATGCCCCCAAGACCCTCCCCAAGGCCCCTGCGACTGTTCCTAAGGTCGTTCCGAAGACTGCCCCTAAGACCACCACTACCGCGTCACCTAAGGTGGCATCGAAGGCGGCACCGAAGACGGCACCGAAGACTGCGCCGAAGGCCGCGCCGAAAGCATCGCCAGTGATAAAGGCTCCTGTCTCCGGACCGGGTGTGGGGGTGGCGGAGGTGCCCCCCCCGGCTTCCAACACCCCGCAGATGAACGTGTTCGCGGCGTCGGCGACGCTGAAGCTGCCGTACCTGCAGCCCGACTATGTGGTGTCGAAGGACGGCCAGAATGGCCACTACTCGACGGTGCAGGTGAGACTCGAAAGGACCTTCGAAAGGGTTTAAAGGGTTTAAGAGGAGAGAAGCATGCTTCGTGTCTGGTGATCCGTTCTTCACCTTTCCGCTTCCCCCTCCGCCGCCTTCCCCGCGCAGCAAGTGATGGAGGAGCTGCGCATGGCGCAGCTGGAGGACCGGCGCAAGGTGGTCTACATCATGAAGGGCACCTACAGGGAGAAGGTGACGCTGCGCAAGGACAGAGTCGTCTTCCTCGGGGAAGGCCCCAAGCTCACCAAGATCGCCTTCGACGCTAGCCCCGCCAAGGGCTTCACCGTCTTCGACTCCGCCTCTGTCGGTACGTTCCGTGCTCTGTTTATGATTCCTCATCCGGCTCGACCTGATGCGCACCGGCTTTTCGTTGCCCTTTCGGCCCGTTCGTTCCGTTCCGTTTCGTTTCGCTCGCTGTAACACGTTGTCACGTGTCCCGTTTTTTTCGCAGGCATCAACGCGAACGAGTTCACGGCGATGGGCATCACGTTCCTCAACACGGCGGGCGCCAAGGCGGGGCAGGCCATCGCGCTGCGCTGCGAGGGCGACAAGAGCGCGTACTACGACTGCCTCTTTCTCGGCAACCAGGACACGCTCGCGCCTAACGTCGGCCGGCAGTACTTTAAGAACGTGGGCGTGCTGGGATCCATCGACTTCGTCTTCGGTGTCGCGTCCGCGGTGTTCGAAGACTGCACGTTCGTCATGCGGCGCCCGCTTCCCGGGTACCAGGGATGCGTGTCGGCGCAGGGCCGCGACAAGAAGAAGGACCCGTCGGCCTTCGTGTACCTGAGGGGCCGCGTGATCGGCGAGGGCGCCGGGACGTACGGGTACCTGGGCCGGCCGTGGTGGGCGTACTCGAGGTCCATCTTCGTCAGCGTTTACCTCGGACCGGTGAGACATCGTTCTTCCCTCGTGGGTAGGGGCGTACCTCGCTCCCTCCCTCCCTCTCGTGCCTCAGCGTGTACGTCGTGGCTTATTATGTGCAAATTGCTCGCCTCGCGGCTCCAATTTGCTCATATCCCGCTCTCCCTGACTGGATGCTTCGCTCGTCGCTCACATAGTCGCTTCCCCCCTGCTCCCCCCCATGCTCATGCCAGGTGATTTCCCCTGGTGGGTGGCTGGAGTGGGACTATGGCGGCGGCAAGAAGACGGTGTGGGGCGGCAAACCCTACTTCGCAGAGTACGGCTCGTATGGCCCAGGCAGCAGGGGGCCTCGGGTGAAGTGGGCCAATCCGGGCAAGATCCCCTACAGGCAGACGTGGAGGTACTACCCCTCGCGGCTGCTGGACCTCAACAGCTGGGTCAATGGCACCTTGATTCCGTACCCGTGAGGAGCAGGCATGGCAAGCAGCTAGGAACCCCAAGCCACCCACCCCTCCAGCACAGGAGATAGCTTCTCTTCAGACCCTCCTGTCCAACGAATAAAAAGGGGTTTCTGAACCTGCCTGCTGTTGCACTAAGTGGAGCTCACACTACTAGTGGCAGGGTTAGGGTGGAGATAAAGCATGCACTTTCCCTAATAATGGCATTTGCTTGGTAGTTTCTTAAGTAGACCTAGAAGGCGGCTACAGCCCTGAGATCATGCCTGAATGTGCTCTTGCCCTAAGAGCTAAATTCAAGGAATCGAATTCTAACTTCCATGCTGATGAGCTTGCCTACACAAACTGTGTGAAAACTGTGTTGGGCTGAGAAAAGCCCTTAGGATCTTTTGCAGAGACTAAGTCCCAGCTGTAGAGACTTGAGACTTGGAGTAGTGCAGCGGAAGTTGAGGCAGTTGAACCCTTGTACTAGTATGTGAGAACAAGTGATTGATTAAAGAAACAAGCATACAGCAATATATAGAAGATAAGAAAGCAGTTTGTAGAATGCAGTTACAGGAACGGTTTATCGAGTCGCACAGCGACTCGATTGCCGCTTCGGTTACCATCCGTGATGTTGTAACGGTCAGTCGCAACCTCCAGTTGCGACCTTTCGGGTCCTTTCGTATTCTTTGTCCGCCCCCTCGTGTAACCTCCGTTGACTCGCGTGCTCCCCTGTAATCTTCCTCGAGTACAGTGTTACACTTCAGAAACGCTTAAGTCCTTGAGATATTTCCAACACTCCCCTTCGTTTCTGGAGTGCTGGAGTGTTCAGATCCGGTGACGTTTGTTTGTCCGGTTAGGAGCATGCAGTAGTCGAATTTTGCTTTCGCCAATTTCTTCGTCAGATAATCTGCGGCCATTTCTGTCGTCGGGCAGTAACTGAGTTGAAGTCTCCCCTTCGCGATTTCATCCTTGACGAAGAAGTACCGCAGGGCGATGTGCTTGGTTCGGTTGGCGAAGCCGTCCTTGTTCGCGATTTTGATCGCAGATTGATTGTCGCAGAGGAGTGAGAAGGCGGGCAGGGTCGCGATCTTCGCTTCTTCGAGTAACTCCCGTAGGTAGAGTCCTTCCTTGGTCGCAGTACAAAGGGCGATATACTCTGCTTCAGCCGAGGATAGTGCGATTAACTCCTGCTTGCTCGACTGCCAGGAGATAGTTCCGATGGGTTCTAGTCGGTAGATGTAGCCCGTCCTAGATCGTCGATTTTCCCTATCTCCTGCGTGGTCGGCGTCGACGTATCCGAGTAGTTGTACGGACGATGTTGTCGCTTTGCTGTAGGTAAGTCCGATCGTCGGCGTGGAGATGAAGTAGAGTAGTGCCCGGTTGAGCTCCTCGAGATCCTCCTGTTCCGGTTGCTTCAGATGCGTCGCCAGTTGACTTGCACTATAGGACAGGTCGGGTCGGCAGGTTACTGCTGCAAATAGTAGGCAGCCGAGCTTCTGTTGATACTCCTGAATTTGCTTCGCGGGGAGTTTTGCGGAGGCGCTGTTGTTGTTTCCGTAGTGGTAGGGAGTTGAGGCGGTAGCCGGTGTTAGTCCGAATTTCTTCGCGACAGTGCCTGCGTACTTTCCAGCGTGTAGGTAGAACGCCGAGTTGTTTTCGACGATATTTAGTCCCAAGTACTGGGTCACTGAGTCGGACACCGTGAGCGTCAGGTCCCCTTTCAGCTCCCCTTCGAACCAGGTGACGATGTCGGTGGTAGAACCGATGTAGAGCAGGTCGTCGACGTAGACGATTAGCAGAATGTAATCTCTTCCCTTCTGCAGTCGGTACATGCCTTGGTCATGTGGTAACTGTAGGAATCCGATTTTTACGAGCCGGCCGTGAAGGTGCTGCTGCCAGAGCCGTGGGGCTTGCTTGATCCCGTAAAGGGATTTTTCCAGCTGGCATACTTTTGAAGGGTCGTCGATGAATCCGTGGGGTTGTTCGACGAAGATTTCGGCGTCCACAGGTGCGTACAAGAAGGCGTTTGCGACGTCGATTTGCCGTAGTGGTAATTTCTTCGTGGCCGCGACGGCGAGTAGGATGCGCAGGGAGGTGTGACGGGAGACTGGGGCGAAGGTTTCTGTGTAGTCGGTTCCGTATCGTTGGTCGAAGCCTCGTACGACCCATCGCGCTTTAAAACGTTCGATGGAGCCGTCCGCGTTGGTCTTAATGCGGTACACCCATTTCCCCGAGAGAACGTTCTTCCCGTTGATGCTCGTTGCAGGTACCAGTTTCCATGTTTCTCGGTCTTGCAGAGCTTTTAACTCCTTTTCCATCGCTTCTTTCCATTTTGCCTTATGTTCCCCCCCCAGAGCCTGCGACAAGGTTGAAGGCTCACGCGTAGAAGGCGGCGGCGGATGCTGGACGGAGACCCAGAGGCCTAGAATCTGGAGTCCCGTGGGTGTGTGTCGAGGGGAATTGTCATTCCCGGAATAAGCTGCTTCGTCACCGTCTTCAGGGTCAGGTAAGAAATTGGGGCCGATGCGTTCTGAAATATTCGTGTCGACGGGGTGAGGTGTAGCGTATCCTTGGTCGGCGAAGTGGTAAAAGGTGTCGAGGTTGTTGCTATCGAGGGGATTATCTTCATCGAGTGGAACAGGTACGGAACAGAATGGGAGTGGCCCGGCAGCTTCCGAGGCTCCAGGTACGTCTTCTTCTGCTGCGTCAGCCTCGGCAGCATGGTCAGCGAAGGAGCGAAGGCCCGCGAAGCCGTCGGTGGGGTCGTCTGAGTTGGCAATGTTGTCCAGGTAATGCTGCAGCGTCAGTCGCTCGTAGAAGATAACATCACGTGATGCCACCGAATTTTTGTCTTGTATGTCGAGAATCTTCCACGCTTGAAAATGTTTGGCGATGCCGAGGTGTAGTCCCCACCGAGCTCGTTGAGTGAAGCGTCCTGCTCGAGCTGTGTGGGGTCTGTATTGTACCATGCAGCCGAAAACTCGAAGTAATTTTGTGCTGCCCCTTTTTCCCGTCCACAGCAGGTGTGGTGATGCGTTGTTGGGGAGCGATGACGAGGACAACAGGTTGTGCAGGTGGACTGCATGTGTCATCGCGTCTGGCCACAGTGCGTTGGGCAGCCTCATCCCCAGAAGCAGTTTTCGCATCGTCGTCTGCAAGGTCCGGTTCATGCGTTCTGCTACCCCCTGCTGCTGGTGAGCATAGGGCAGAGACACCAGGCGTCGGATTCCCCTTTCCGCGAGATAGGTCCTGAAGCGTTGTGACTGGTATTCCAGTGCACCGTCTGACTGGAAACTCTTGAGTTTGGTTCCTGACTCTCGTTCGGCGATTGGAAGCCATGCGGTGAAGGCCTCGAAGGCTTGATCGCGCGTTTTGAGATTGAAGTGCCAGACGTATCTGGTTGCGGCGTCGATGAACGTGATGACGTAGTTGAAGTCGGCTTCGGTGTCGTCTCGAGGCATGTTTAGAATATCGCTGTAGACCTTTTCCATCGGAGCGTAAGTGGGTGCGCTTGGATTGTGATGGGCTGGGAAAGGTTGATGAGGAAGATCTGCTTCGGGGCATGTGAAACACCGTGCGCGTGGTCGTCGGAGTTCCTGGCCGTTCGTCGTCAGAAGGGCGTTGCGTTCTAACACTTCTGCTTGGATTGTTTGAAGTATCGTGCTGTTTGCAGGATGTCCGAGACGTTGGTGCCAGATGTCGTCGGGAGCGCGGTGGCCGGGCGAGCGGTGGTAGATGTCGGCGTTGGAGAAGAACGCGACGACCGAGGCGGGACTTCGACAGGCTTCTCGTGTGACGGGCATAAGTTGGTCTGCTTCGGTTGGCGGTCCTCGTGTCGCTGGTGGTGGTACTCGGCTGGGTCCTGCTGCCGATACTGCAGGTGATGGTTTTGTTGGGACGCTTGCGGGTACTTGTCTTTCTTGTTTGATGACTGCTAATGCTCGTGTTCTCTCTGCTGCAGGTATGGTGTTGGAGTGCCAGAAGCCGTCACTGTCGAAGTCGGGATCAAGATCCGGCGGGTGAGTCCAGGCGGCGAACGATACGATGCCATCGCTGTCGGCAGTTCCGCGGTCGGGGACGAAGTCCAACACGAAGACACCGGACTTCAGGAGGGCACGACCGATGAAGAGGCCGCCCTTCCCGTGGTAAAGCCGGAACTCGTTGGAGTAAGAGTCGCACTCCAGGTGAATCCCTTTGGCCATTAGTTGGCTTACGCTTAGTAGATTGTATCCCAGGTTGTCGACAATGAGCACTTTGTTGAGCTGCAGTATTACGTTTGTTTCCATGGATTGTAACTGAACCACGCCTTGTCTGTTTGTCTTCAGGTTTTCGTTGTTGGCGACTGTGATGACGACGTCGCGGTTGAGTCGTTTCTCCTGTTGCACGAAGCGTCCCGAGGAGCACATGTGTTGACCGCAGCAACTGTCCAAGAACCAGGTGTTCCGCCCGGTGGGTTCGGCGTTAGCGACTGCAGCGTATGTCGGGTTGACCTGAAGTCCTTGCGAGCGCGGCGGCGGGAATTCCTCTTCGTCTGGTGCGTAAGTGGGTGGTGAAGCGGGTGCGCAGTTGTCGATGTGTACCATGCAGTTGATGATGTTGGGTGTTTGTTGTGCAGATGTTGAAGAGCGCCTTGGAGGACTTGCTTGAGTGGAAGCGACTTGTGGGTCTGCTGCACGGTAAACGCGAGGGCGGTTGCAGTTGACCTTGGAGTGCCCGGAAGTCTGACAGTTGTGGCAGAACGGCGGCACGATGGTGAGTCCTCGGTTGTCGCGTTGATCTTGCTTGCTGCGTCGGTTGTAGTTGTTGTCATTTCTTCTTTGAGTGTAGAAGACTAACTGCTGTTGCTTCCTTGGTTGTCTTTCCTCGAACAGATCCATCTCCTGTTGTTCAGCGTGAAGCTCGGCGCAGAGGTGCATCTCCGAAATTCTTCCGTGGGCGCGAAGGAGTGATCGTGTGGTTCTCCATTCTGGCCCGAGCCCAGCGAGGACAAGTGTCACGAAGCTTTCTTCAGTGATTGTTCCTCCGCACCGAAGCAGGCGGTCGCGAAGGGTCTGGCAGCGACTCATATACTGCATCGCCTTTTCCCCGGTCTTCATCTGTATTGTTGTCAGCTGTTGCATGAGTCTGCTTTGTGTCACGCTGTCGTTTGCTTGGTAAAGGCATTTGAGGTGGTGCCATGCGAGCTCCGCGGAGTTTCCATAACTCCGATACGTTCTGATGCTCTGCTGCTCTTGTGGTGACAGGTTTCTCAGGAGTACCGTGTACGCCAGCAGCGACTGATACGTGAAGATCTCTTGTTCCTTCCCAGTGCCGTTGCTTGGGAAT